GGTCAGGAGGAAGGAAACCAGCAGGGAATCTGCATAGAGAGGACATCTGGTCAAGGTCGGCAAGCAAGGCAGCAGCCACTCACAGTGGGGGGCCAGGGCCCACAATTTTTTATTTTTATTTTCATTTTTTGGTTTTTGGAGAAAGGGTTTCTCTATGTAGCTTTGGTGCCTTTACTAGAACTCACTCTGTAGCCCAGGCTGGCCTCGAACTCAGATCTGCCTGGTTCTGCCTCCCAAGTGCTGGGATTAAAGGTGTGCACCACCACTGCCCAGCCCCCTTTATCTTTATAAACTGCCCTTTGCTTGTGTGCCATGTCTGTCTCCTTTCTACCCAGAGGCAGTCCTGGGGGCAAATACCCCTGTCCCCTCACCCTCATCCCCTTCTCCCTTATCCCCTCTCCCCCTTGCCAGGGCATCCTAGCCCATTCTAACACAGACCTCCCCCTTTTCTTCTTAAAAATCACACCTGCAGGGCCATTTGCTGCTGTTTTTCTGCCTGAGTCAGAAAGCAACCACTTTAACCTTTTTTCTCTACTTAATAAAGGATCCCTCTGTGGTTTGTACCTAATCCAGGGTCTGGGAGGGAGCCTCTACTGTTCGGGGGTCTCCTTCACTCACCTCAATAATGTCTTGCATGAGGTCTGTTGTGAGGTCTGTTCTTTGTGGTATTCCTTGGCCCTCCAATCACAGCAAAATCCTAACACCTAGGGGCAGGCCTTTCTGCTTCCCATTTTCTATGGTGAATATTTCTCCTCTACCACATACTCCTGACACTATGGTCTTTCTGTCCAAGTGACTGTGGACTGAATCCTCTGAAGCCATGGCCAACATCAACCTTTCTCTGCTGAGTTACTTCTGTCAGTTACAGAAACTGACTAACCCAGGCAGGTATATGGAGGCTCTGTGATACTGGTGGCCTTGCCATGGTCAGGGCTGTGTCCCCAACTAGCACAATGACTACAACATGTGCACCAAGACTTTGGTTTGCTGAAATAAACTGGATTAAAAGTTCTCAAGGACATCAAGGATTTGGAGCACCATGTCGTCGGCTTCCTGGGCCTTGTCACTTCCATAAAAATGAGCTCTGCAGCAGAGACTTTAGGAACTAGTTAAGTGTTAGGACATGGTTATGCTCAGACACAAGCATCCATGCACTTGGGTAACACACCCACAGAAGAGCACCATCAGCCCATGTTCCCCTCTCTTAATTCATTAATATTTGACTTCTTTGGCTCTCAGAGGTCTTGAATATTTTAATTACAGAATCTTATTACATGCTCAGGGATTCTTAAGAGAAACAGACATAATTTTCATAAAAGTTTTATGAATCTGACTCAGTGTGTGAATATAGTCCAATCCAATAAGTATTAATAATAATTAAAATTTATGGGGCCCTCACTTGCTGCCAAGTATTATCTCATTTTATCCTGACTACCATCTTCATGAGGTTCAGAGGCGTCAAGTGCTTGCCCAAGGTCACAGGGGTCTGACTCCATTAACATACAATGCCAGTTCCCAAAGTTGACAGCCTCCTCACACGTGTATTAATATCTAATAATATGCACAGAGCCCTTACCATATGGTAAGGAATCTACCTATTCTTGGAAATGCCAAAGTCCGTCTGACCTTTCCCCTGAGAAGCACCCAACAGGTGACTGCTTCTTCTCACCTCCATGCTCTGCACTCATTACCATGACTACCTGATAGAATTAAGCCCCAGCGGCCCATCTGCATAACATCCTTTGCTAACTTCCCCTCTAAATTATGTTGCAGTGGTGTTTCCCCAAAAAGGGCCCCCAACCCAAAGTCATGCTTTACTGTAGGATCAGTAATCCTCACTAACAGGTCATCCAGAAAATACCCAGCAGCTAAGAGTGCCAGTGCTCTCCCAGAGGATCAGCTCCCACACCAGGCACCTCACTGCCTGTCACCTCCAGCTCCAGGGTAGCCAGTGTCCTCTTCTGGCCTCTTCAGGCATGGCCACACATACAGCACATTCACATACAGACATTCATACATACACATGAATAAAAATAAAAAAATTTTTTTATGAAAAGAAAGTCTCTTCAGCTTTGAAAGGCAAACATTCTGTCTCACACTCACTTCTACCATGGCCACAGGAAGGTCACTAAAGATGATATGTAAAGGAATGAGTGTCCTATCTTCATAAAAGTTCACTTATGGCCACTGAACTTAGGATTTCATTATGTCATGACATGATTTTATCTTTCTTTTTCTCAGTCATTTGAGAAGAGTTTTAAAGCCTGGGATGGAAGCAGCTCAGCTGGCCGAGTGCTGACCTAGCGCGTACGAAGCCCTGGGGTCTATCCCCAGCACGGCATAAACACAACATGGTGGTGCACCCTGTAAGCTCATACTCTGAGAGGGGAGGGAGGGAAGGGGTGTGAAGGCAGGGGCATCAACAATCCAAGGTCAGCCTTCGCTGAAGAGTTTCAAACTACCCTGGGCTACGTGAGACCTTATCTCACATAAAAAAACAATAAACAATTAAATGGCTGCACATGCCTTGAAGTTAAGCATGATAGGCTGGAGCAGGCAGCTAATGGGAGGATTGCATGAGACAGGACCATCATTGTTTCCATTACCCAAACAGAAAAGGGGAGCTTAATGATTAGTGGTGTTCTGGGGAGATGGTACAGCAGATAAAGGTGCCTGCCTGCAAGCCTGGGGACCAGAGTTTGATCCTCAGGCCCCACAAGGTAGGAGAAAACTGGCTCCTGAAAGTTGTCCTCCGACCTCCACACGGGTAACCTGGCACAGGTGTACTTGCATGTGTGCACACTCGTGTATACAGGTGTACACACACACAATGAATGAATAAATAAATAAACGAAATTAAGACATTTTATCCTACACTCATACATGTATGGGCATGACTAACTGCATTTAGTTGGCTATCAAAAATAAAAGCTATCAAGTTGGGAGAGAGAAAGAGGCATGTTAGTGGGGATATGAAGTGAGTGAAAGGTTGTAAATGGGAGCTACAAATCATTAGATTTCACTGAATAGCCATATGAAATTCTCAAAAAAAAAGGAGAAAAATTTTAAGATGAATTAATTTTTTTTAAAGGAGAAAATTTAATGGCCCTAAGAGAAATATAAGTCTAAGTCCTAGTAACAGTGGCCAACAGTAGCCATGATCAGTCCACTCTAGCCTGTTCAGAAACTCCCAGCATCCAGCTCTTACGGTTTGAAAGTGAACTGTCCTCCCAGGTATGAGGGAAGCCCCACTGTGCCCGCCTCCACATGGTGCTCTGACACTTAACTCCAGCTCCAAGGCGTCTGGTGCTCTCTTCTGGCCTCTGCAGGCACCTCTACCCAGTGACGGGGCCGAGGAACTGTGGACAGACACCTCTGAAACCATGAACTGAAATAAATCTGTCCTCATCCTATGTTGCTTTTCTCAGGGATTTCCTTTCCTGAGTTGCTGCCTGCCTCTCTCCGCCCCCCACTCAGTATCTGACAGACCAAGATGGTGACTCAGTAGTCAGGAGCGGGAGGAGCTGCTTGAAGATGGCATCTGAAAGCACCTTGCTGCCGCACACCTTGGTAACAGCTGCTGCCTCTTCCTTTGCCTAGAAAAAAAGCAGGCTCCCAGAGGAGCTCGAAGACCAGGGACAGCCAAATTGTTCACTGGACCTGTGCTGTGGATATCATTCTATATAAATAAAACACTGATGGCCAGTGACCAGGCAAGAAATAGGTTGCCAGGCAGGAAGTAGGTGGGACAAGGAGAGAGAAGAATTCTGGGAAGCGGAAGGCTGAGGAGAGACACTGCAAGTCACCGCCAGGTCAAGCAGCATGTGAAGACGCCGGTAAGCCACCAGCCATGTGGCAAGGTATAGATTTATAAAAATGGGTTAATTTAAGATGAAAGATCAGTTAGCAAGAAGCCTGCCACGGCCATACAGTTTATAAGTGATATAAGCGTCTGAGTGATTATTTTATAAGTGGATTGTGGGACTGCGGGGCTTGGGGAACCTGGAGAGAAGCCCTCCAGCAACAGACCTGGCCAGCCTGAATCCCTCTACAGCATCTTTGTACCTATATAGATCCACTTCTACCTGTGATTAAGAACGCAGTGCATTGTGCACCGGGGACTAGCAAACCTGGAGTTGAAGCCAGCATGCCAACACTCCTGCTTAGTCAATACAGCACAGAAGCAGCTTAGGCCGTGTCTTCCCAGCTGCCCAGGGGGAGAAATGAAACTACTTACATAGTCTTTACCATGTCCCAGGCACTGGCCTGAGACTCCATATCCAGGAACTTATTTAATTCCACAGAAATCCCAGGAGGCAAGTGCTATTAAAAACTCCATTTTGCAGATGAAGATTCTGAGAGACAAAGTCATTTTCCCAAAGTCACTGGGCCTGTGAGTGGCTGAGTAGCCTCTCACATCCAAACAGACTGATTCGGGTACATGCTATAACCACAGGCTGGTGGGCACACTCGGCCAGCTGGACAGTAAAGATTTACTGACAGAGCATCCCCTTCGAAAACTCTTTTTCATTTCTTAACAATGCTTCTAATAATGTGCAAACTGGGATGCAGAGATAGCTCAGTGGGTAAATCATTTGCCTTCAATCACAAGGATCTAAGTTTGATCCCTAGAATCCATGGTAAAAACAACAAATTCACTCTTGTAATACAAAATGGGAGGAAGAGCTGTGGATCCTTGGGGCTCAGTGGCCAGCCGGTCTAGCCTCATCAATAGCCCCAGTACCAGAGGGCAACTCTGTTTCAAAAAACACAAAATGGCAAAGTAGAGATAGCCTTTGCAACAAGAGATTGTTCTCTGTCTCCATATACATGAGTGCATGTGTGTATCTGCACAGATATACAACACACACACACACACACACACACACACACACAAAGCCAGTCTTCACTCATGGGCTCTTCAAACATAGAACTCCTTGAACTATTATCCGTGGTACCAAGGAGATACCACAACTTGAATATCTCAAACAAATTCAGTCCTTCCAATGAATTCCTTTTTAAATCAGCTATGGTGGTTTATTCCCATAATCTCACCACTTGGAAGATTTAAGATGAAGCTTGGCACCGGTACAAAGTAGGTGAGAGCTACAGTGTGAGACCCTGGAAAGACAGACAGAGAGACATAAAAGAAAGGACAGTGGGGAGGAAACAGAGATAAGTGAAAAAGAAAACGATAAAAAGAATAAGAAAAGGGAAAGAGGAGAAAAGAAGGAAGGGAGGAGAGGAAGAAATGAAGGGAAGACAGACAGACAGAGACACAGACACCTTTTAAGACCATCCAAAATTAGCTATGAATCAAGTGTCTGAATATGGATTTGCAGGGACACACAGGTAACATTTAAACTGAAACAACAAAAATTAGTGTATCTGAAAGGACAAGCCACAAAGAGTCTCGGCTCCAGGCCTGAGGAGGCAGCGAGCCTCGGCACGCTTCATTTCCACACAGCCTCCCTAGTCACACACACCAAGGACCACCATGTTTTACAAAGTGCTTCCATCACCAGGCAAACCAGAGGCAGTAGTATGCCGGCTCCTGGAGCTGCCCGTCAACACTCAGTCTGTCAACACTTCACAGAGAGAAAAGCCGAGGTAAAGACAGACCCAGCTCCATCCTCGGCACTCCAGTGTCGGAGCTTTCTTGCTTGACTGAAAGCTTTCAAGACATCCGCTGAAGGAACTAGCCCAGCTGACGGTCCCTTTCTGTGCAGCTGCACCCCCTCTGGTCCTCACTGCTGTCTTTCCCACAGTCCCTGCAACAGGAAGGAAGAGGCAAAACCATCATTACCTCCTCAGTTACATTCTCAGAACAGAGCAGTTTCTGTTGCTAAAATACCACCACATTAAGAATGCACTTCAGGTTTAATGTCTTGGGCTTGATTTTGTTCCAACTATCTGTCATTCTTCCCCAGGTACCAGTGGTCCAGCCTGGTATATTAGTTAATTTTCTGTCGCTGTGATAAACACCATGATCAAAAGCAACTTAAAGATGAAAGGTGATCTTTGCTTACAGTTCCAAAGGAAGAGTCCATGACGGCAATGAAGGCATGGCAGCAGATGGAACAAGAAGCTTGCTGACACTGTCTTTATCTGTCCGCATGAAACATAGTGAGCCAGTGGGAAACAGAGTGAGGCTATAAACCCTCAAAGCCCACCCCCAGCAATACACTTCCTCAAGGCTGCACTTCCTAAAGGTCCTATGACCTCTCCAAATACCAGAGCCAACGGGGGACCAAGCGTCCAAGTGCATAAGCCTGTGGGGGACATTTCTCACTTCAATCACCACACCCAAGAATGTGCTTTTCACTGCAGTGACAGAGGTCCAAGCAAAGAGGCCTGAACAGGAAGCGTATTCATATCTGCCAATATCCCACTGGCCGAATGGAGTCCCGTGTCCCTCCAAGGTCAGGGTGGGAGGACACTTCAGAGTCACACAACAAAGAATGTGCGTGGATCTCCACAGCAATGAGCTGACACAGATGTGAAGATGCTGAAGGCAATCGGGTCTAATTATGTGGCAATTAGACCTCATCCATTGGCTAAGGCAACCTGAACAACACAAGGTAGCAGAAATGTATTCCTCCAGTGGAATCGTATTTTTCTCCATGTGTCTGAAGCTTTCTAGATTTGCATGAGGAATGGAAGTAGACGCTTCCTGTGGATTTAAAGGTCAAGTAAGAAAGGCTATCTGGATATCCTAGCAAATGAAGGCAGGATTTGAACATCAGAGAAGGAGATGACGATGTCTGGAAGCTCCCCAAGGGGGGAAGGGTTTGTGGGAGGAGTCTCCTGCAGCCTAGGCTTGCCTCAGATTCACTATGTGGTGAGTTCACCAAGGATGACCTTGAACCCCTGATGCTCCTCCCTCCCTTCCTCCAGTGCCAGCATTATGGGCACGTGCCCTCACGCTCAGTTTATGGGTTATGTGGTGCTGGAGATCAAACCCAGGGCTCCGTGCATGCTGGACAAGCACCCTACCAACTGAGCTGCACCCCCAGGCCCTTGACTCCAAATGCTGCTGAAAAATCTTCAAGGTGACTCCTCCACTGGGGCACTTCAGAATTTGTGGGAGGGGAGTCTCATTAAGACATGGGTGGAATCATTCACAGTTCACAAATACACAGGGAAAAAAAAACCCTCAGAACTAAAACTAAAAGTAGGAAATTAAGGCTCAATAAGGGGATTTAGGTGGAATCATCACCATCAAAAGCAGCAAGCATATGGGCTGTGCTGTGGAGTGGAGACCATCAAACTGAGATTAGACTGATCGCCCAGAAGAGAAGGGAAGTTTGCCTTTTGAAAGCCCAGATCCCAAATCTGATTTCAATGCAGCCCCAGCAAGAGCGCCCTGCACTGTGTCTGGCCTTTGGAGACAATGCCTGCTTCAGAACATTTGATGTGGCCCCTGGAAAACTTTCTACAAAGCAAAGAAAAGGGTGAGGCACACACCCCCACCCAGGACATTACTCAGTAGAAGGCGCCTTTTGAAAGTGTCTCTAACAGCCCGTTGTGTGTTTTAATGAGTTGGAAGGCCTGCCTCCATTGGCTGGGATTTTCAAGAAGGCTTTCTGTGGCTCCCTCTGGCTCCCACTAGTTCCTGTTTGATTCTGCATATTCATAAAACGCTCTGCAGGACACAGCGCAGTTCAAAAACTTGCTTTCAGCTTTGCTGACTTCAATAAGCCTGTTCCTCTCCACTTGGCAGTTAATTCACTGGGCTCAGAAGACACTCTTACTGGGCATTTTGAGCTGAAAGTTGGCAGAGCAAGGTGAGGGATTTCAAGGGCTGGGAGCAGCCTTAGCCAGGGACAGGGGGTAAAGGTTTGCCAGAGGGAGGGACTCTGCCCACTTCTGATTAGCTCAGGAATGAGATACCCTCCCCTGGCTCAGTTTGCAAAAATAGTTCTGTTTTATAGTCACCTTTTTCCTTCTGCTTTGGGAGGCTCCATGAAGGAAGGAAGCAGCTGCAAAAAGAAGAGGAAGAAATGCTTGAGCAGCGAAGCGTTAAGACCAAACTCCTCCTGGCTCAGCATCACTCAGGTTCCTCCATTATAAAGTCATATGAAGTTCAAGGCCAAGGTGACTTCCCAATTGCTTTCTAGGGTTGACATTATCCCAGCATCCCTGAGTCTATGAGCAGGATGACGTTTCCAGACACAGCTCTAATCCGTGGTCCCTCTATTGGGTACAGAAAGCAGAGCATTGGGCATCCACAGTGTACCAGGCAGGTGGGCTCCAGGCAGATAATGGCAAGCAAACAAATAAATCCCCTGCCTTCATGAAGCTCCTAGTCTGGCAGAGGAAGCCAGGTGGGTCCAGGTGAGTACAAAGAAGTGTGGAATTATCCAGAAAGAGTGCTCTGAGGTGGAAGAATTCAAATGGAGGCGCGCGGGCTGTGTGTGTGTGTGTGTGTGTGTGTGTGTGTGTGTGTGTGTGTGTGTGTGTTGGGGGGGGGGTTGTCAGGGGAAAATTTCCTGGTAGGCAATACTTGCAATCCATTTGAAAGGCATGAGGATTGTGCCTGTCATGCCAGCACTCAGGAAGCAGAGGAAGGAGGATCTCTGATTCCGAGTCATCCTGGGATGCACAGTGAGATAATGTCTCAAAAAGTGGATAAGCAAGCAAACAAAAGCCCTCAACAGTTCCCCAGAGATGAACTGGGGTAGGAGACAGGAGGGGCGTTTCTAGAGAAAGGAACCATCCAAATGCTTCAGCTGTCCTTAGAAAGGACAGTACTGAGGATGCAGAGCAGCCCAGCCCTAAGAGGGTGTGCTGTTCTTCCAAAGGACCCGAGTCCGTTCTCAGCAGCCACAGCCCCTGCCTGGCCCACAACTGTCCATAACTACAGCTCCAGGGGACCTAATGGCCTCTTCTGGTCTCCTCCACAAGCACTATATTCATGCACAAATGCATACAGAGACATATACATACATCACACAATTTAAAATAAAGTGAAGGGCAACAGCTCCTCCTGTGTCCCTAGTCCCTGCAGGCTCTAGTCCCTATCTCATCTTCTAATTACATGCCACCCCTAAACTCTCTTCCAACCAACACCAAATCCATCTCTAAAACCACATGTAGCCCTTTATAGGGAAAAGAAAGGCCCTTGCTTGAGCACACTTTCTCTCTCTCACACACACACACACACACACACACACACACACACACAGTAGCCGTAAGTTCCTCCAGTCCCACCCCACCCCACAGTCCCATGTTTCCTCGGTCCTGCTCAGCCCCACAGTCCCGCAGCTGTTTATAAAATAATTGTTCAGAGGCTTATATCGATTACAAACTGTATGGACTAACAGCTCCAGCTTCTCGCTAGCTAGCTCTTACAGCTTAACCCATTTCTATAAATCTATATGCTGCCATGTGGCCATGGCGTTACTGGTCTGGGGATCTTGCTGCTCCATTGGCAGCAGCTGGTGTGTGTCCCGACTCCACCCCTCTTCATCTCGTCTCCAGTTCAAATGTACCACTAACCTTATCCTGCCCTGCCATAGGCCAGTGCAGCTTTGATTATCAACCAATCAGAGCAACACATAGTCACAGTGTACAGAAAGACACCCCCCAGCAGCACTCTCACACACATACTTACATCCTTTCATACACACTCTCACACATGTACACACATTCATATATTCTCTCTCACATTCAATCATACACATGCATACTCACACACACTCACACATACTCTCACATACATATGCACTTTCACACACATATGCACATTCTCACACACTCACACACACATTCTCTCACACATATGCACACTTTCACACATATATTCTCAAGCACACTCATACACACATATGCACACCTCTCACACATATATACACACTCTACAAACTCATACACATTCTCATGCTCTCACATTTACACACATGTGCACACTTTCACACATAGACTCATGCACACTCACCCATATATGCATACTCTCTCATACCCACTCAGCCACAGGCACACTCTTGCACTCTCTCACACTCACACACATATGCACAGTCCCTCACACTGGCACTCTGACACACTTTCACACTCAACACCGACAACATCATCATCATCACTACAGAACTATGAAGCAGATGCCAGTGCTGCTCCAGTTTCACAGGAGTAGAAACTGGGCCTTGATGTGGCTGCTCACCATGCAGTGATCACCAAGTAGGATCTAGAGCTGGGATTCAAACCAAGAGGTCTGATGCCGGAAACTTAACTGTTGCTGGAGGGCTTCTCTCCAGGTTCCCCAAGCCCCGCAGTCCCACAATCCACTTATAAAATAATCACTCAGATGCTTATATCACTTATAAACTGTATGGCCGTGGCAGGCTTCTTGTTAACTGTTCTTTTATCTTAAATTAACCCATTTCTATAAATCTATACCTTGCCACGTGGCTGGTGGCTTACCAGCATCTTTACATGCTGCTTGTCCTGGCGGTGGCTGCAGTGTCTCTCCTCCTTCTTTCTGTTTCCCCAATTCTCCTCTCTCTTTGTCCCGCCTATACTTCCTGCCTGGTCACTGGCCATCAGTGTTTTATTTATATAGAGTGGTACCCACAGCACTTAACTAGGTGTTATGCAGCACGCCTCTAATATGGCAGCAATCAAGAAGAGGAAACAAGTGAGGTCTTGACAGAAGTTGATCCACTGGTAGAAGTTGTCCCATCTAAGCTCATAGGAAAGTTTGTTGTGATTGATTACCCATGTCTGCCATGAGTGCAGCACATGAAGACACAGTACATGTGCTATGTATTTTTAATCTCTGAATCAACTAAATATTCACTCTAAACTCTTCCCTCGGGCCAGAAGTGTGGAGCTTATCTCCTTCTCCATAAGACATCCCGAGCTTTCTCTGGCCACTCCGGGTTTCAGTGTCATGTCTGATAATGTCCCTAAGTCCTCACTCTATTGCTGATACAGTCAGTCAGAGATTAACTTAGCCCAGGTCAGCTGTGTTTCCTGCCACATTTCTTCCCCCTAGGCTTTTCCTTCCCATTGGCCCCCAGCCCTAATCTCCGTTGTAAGGGAACCAAACCCACCTCTCTCCTCCACACATGAAAATCATTCCCAAGTCAGGAATCCATCTCAGGTCCTTTCAAAGACAATCATCAGCTCTTAAACACGGACTCATCTCTCCAGCCCCTGTATTTGTATTTAAAACCACCCCTTCAAAAATAATGAGAACAAATTAAAATTTTTTAGAGGCATCCCATGACCCTTTCATGCATATAAAATCCAAAAGAAAAGTGAAAAAGCTCAGGCTTCTCACATTTGCTGTGACATGGTAGCCTGACACAGCCACCACACCAGTGTCTGTCCTCCTTCGTCTGTCTGCTATTCCAAAGTCATTCCTGCCAAGAAAACTCCAACCAAAGGATACAGGAACCTGAGACTACACACACACACACACACACACACACACACACAAAACTCATTTGAATTTGAAAAATCCAAGGTCAATTCTCCTATCAACCTGTTGCAGTAACATACACCAACCCAGCTGGGTCCACATCAATGCCCAAACCTGACAAGTTTCATCAATTTATTTTGATTGCACCATCTGTACCAAAAAGAAAAAAAAAGGGAAAGGAAAAGAGCAGGTTCACCATGTGGAACTCCTCAAGTGTGTGCAAAGCATTCTGGACAGAAGTACGCATGCCCATTTCGTCCTCACACCTCTCCCCGGGTTTGTCAATGACTAAGAATGCTTTTGAGAACTGGAAATGCTTTCAACTGTGTTTGCCTTGTTTTTTCCAGGAAGCCTTTAAAACCATCTCTCTGGGTCTAATTATCTTCTGTGGGTGCTAATGCCTCATTGCTCTGTGTTCTCTGGTTTTATCAGGCATCTTCCCTGCCTACAATATCACAAAACACATGCAGGCTGGGCTCAGGGGGCCAGGGGGCTATGACTTGACACAGAGAAAGCCAGATCCTACTCTGCTTTACCAGGTTTAACTGTGGGCAAACTGTGGGCAAACTCAGGTTGCTCTGGCATTCTTTTCTGCACTCCATTTTCAGGACAACTCTGTATTTAACAGAAAGCAAAGCTTCCTCTGCCTTTTTTGCCAAGGCAATTGAAACAGAGGCTTAGAACACTCACCCTGGAATCAACTTTCCTGGGGGTTGAATTCTGTCTACATCTCTTATTATCCGCAAAGCCCTGCACAAGATGTGCAACCTCTCAGACCTGCACTAATATATCTGCAGCATGCTCCCACTCATGCATGTGAGGCGGAGCAGATAGCAAGAAGGGGCAGGTCAGAACTGGGGCAGGTATAACCTCCACAGCTCACCCCTAGTGTCCTGTGTCCAGAAGCTATGCCCCAGATCCTCAAGGATCCAAACCAGTGTCCACATCTGTGCACCAAGTGCACAGACATGAGCCTGTAGAGGACGCGTTGGACCTTCTTGTCTATGGGAGAGGTAGCTTGTGCTTAGAACAGGTAGTCACTTAAGGGGTGCTGTACAAGTGTTTGTTCAACAAAAACAAATACTTTGGTTGTAAAACAGTTCTTTGCCTCAACATCCTCCCACCCTCTCCTTCCTCCCCAACTGTCAGGACCAAAGGAAACCACAATCCCCCAAACCCCAAAAGGCAGGTCAAATATCCAGAAATGGGCTCAATCTGGACTGTAGGAGGATTTCTGATGGTTAGATAAAAGCCAGCATCCCCCAGGAACTTGTGAAACTGGTTCCCTCAACCAAAAGGAGTCATTTTCCTCACAGAAGGGGCATAGGGATTTCTGTGGTACCTGTTAGCATATTAAAGCACATGCTGGCCTCCAGGCTCCCTCAGTATCATAAGTACCTGTTATATATGTCAGAGTCCATGCTGGCATCCTAATCCTTCTCACCTCCTCCCCTAAACTCCCTCCAGCTCATGGGCCTCCCTCCCCATAGCCACTCCTTCTCCTTGTAACCCTGCTATTCTCACTGTTATCTGTCTGTCTGTCTGTCTATCTATCTTCCCAGCTCCTGCTTCTCTTGCTGTATTTCCTCTAGTCTCTATTGCCTGTTCTTCTCCCCTCTCTCACAGATAGTCCTGGCCAGGTCCAGTGTGCCGTCCACGGTCAGTCTACTTTCTCTCTCTACTCTGGACTCTTCCAGATACCTCTGGCTGTTTTCTCTCTCAATTCTATGATAAAAACCTTCCCCTTAATACCATGGAGCATACTATGGAGAAGTTGTCAAGTTTATGCATCAACAAGCAGCTGAATGTGCCTCATGATAGAAGAAGGATGAATGAGGACAGACAGACACTGGGGCAGCCACTGCCACAGGCTCAGCTGGACATTCCTGTCATCCCTGTCACGGCAAATGGGCCAAGTCTAAGGAAACTCAGGATTGCTCATTTTTTGTCTGGATTGTTTTGGGTGTGTGTATATGAAGGGGTCATGGGATACCTTTAAAAAGTTTTGATTTGCTCTCATTCTTAAAAACATGGTTTTAAATACAAATGTGATAGCTCGGAAAGATGGCTCAGTAGTTAAGAGCAAGTACTGTTACTGCGAAGGACCTGAATTCCATTCCCAACGTGTGCCTCAGGTGGCCCACAACTGTCCAGGCCTCCAGCTTCAGGTGATCAGATACCTCTGGCCTCCACAGGTGCCTGCACTCATGTGCACACACCCACACGCTGACAGAGGCACAAAATTAACATCAAAAACAATTTTTTAAATAAAAACACGGTTCCCTGCTTCTCGTGTGGGAAAATCAAAACGGCACCTTCCTGGGTTCGCCGCCCCCACCGCAGCCATCAGATGAGAGGCAGCTGCTCTCAGGCCCTCTGGGCTCTCTTCCTGGCCTGCCTGCGCATTTGCCTCACCAGCCTGACCCTGGTGGATATCTGGGGTTATTACCCTCACCTTCTGCTATGGTTGAGAAATATGTTCCCCAAGGCCCAGGTATTAAAAATCTGGTTTTCCCTGTTCTTGGCACTCTTGGGAGAGCATGGAACCTTAGAAGTGGGGCCTCCTGGGAGGTCCTAAAGTCACTGGAAATGTCCTTGGAGGAGATACTGGGGCCCTCCTTCATTCCTTCCCTTCTTGTTGGCTGTGAGGTGAGCAGCTTTGCACCACCGTGTTGTCCCTTATCATAATGTACCCACCTGTCACAAGCCAAGAGCAATGGGACCACGTGCCAAAGCCTCCCAAACCGTTAGCAAATGTTCTCACTGTAAGTCGATTTCCCTTGGGTATTTGTTATAGTACCAGACAGCTGACTAACACAACCCAGAAAGAAGAACCCCACATTCAGACCCATGCAGGCATATATGAGACAAGCTACTTCCTGTGTCTAGCTTGGTGTCCCCATCCATTTGATGGAGATTAACTAGACTTCACCCAAGAATACGCATTTTAAGTTGGAGGCTGCATATGAGATTCCATCTGGACAAATTCTGCTGCTCTTGATTTTATGAACCCTGCTGTGGGATGTTCTTTATGCTATGAATGTGTTGCTCTGATTGGTTAATAAAGTGCTGATTGGCCAGTAGCCAGGCAGGAAGTATAGGTGGGACAAAGAGAGAATTCTGGGAACAGAAAGGCTGGGGAAGAGACACTGCCAGCCACTGTCAGGACAAGCAACATGTAAAGTACCGGTAAGCCACAAGCCACACAGCGAGGTATAGATTAATAGAAATGGGTTAATATAAGATATAAAAACTAGATAGCAAGAAGCCTTCTACAGTCATACAGTTTATAAGTAACATAAATCTCTGTGTGTTTACTTGGTTGGGTCTGAGTGACTACGGGACTGGCAGGTGAGAGATATTTGTCCTGACCGTGGGCCAGCCAGGACCAAGAAAACTCAGAACCCTTACCTTAAACACCCCGTGCTTCCAAAAATGACCTTCCTGAAGAGGGGGAGGGGTGTGCCTATTTGAAGAACATACTTGTTGAACTTGCCATAACAATATACAGCAAACTGAGTGATGCTTCTCTTGAAATGTGTTTGCTCAGTTCAAAGCTGAGGTGCAACAGCCTTTCTCATTTCCTGATCCTCGGGGGAGAGATTCAGTCCCACGCTTACTCCAGCACCTGGGAGGTGCTAAGACTGGGTTCCCCAGCTGCCCAAGCTTCTCTCTCAACTCTCGCCATCATCTATGGGTGATGTGCCTCTTCTTGTGAGAGTGTCTGCCTTTGGACAAGGGCCCACTCCGCTATGTATAAACTCAACTATGGCAGCAAAAGCTGTTCCCAAATAAAGTCACACTGAGAATGTGAGTGGACATGTACTCTGGAGCGGCACTGTTCAAAACAGGCTGGCTGGGGCCATTTAAAGGAAAGCAGCTTTTCCCTCACCAACAGCCACAGCACCTAACAGTTGCAGTCATTCAGGAGTCATTTGCTGATCACTAAAGTCAGATTACAAGGATGGGGGCTGGGGAAGTGGCCTGGTCAGTAAAGTGCTCACATGGAAGCATGAGGACCCGAGTTAAAAGCCTGGCGTAATCCCAGAACATGGAGAGCAGAGACCCCTGACAGCCACCCTAAGCTACCTGGGGAGTTCCAGGACAATGAGAGACTCAATATCAGAAATAACAGAGTGGGGTTGGAGTTAACTCAGCAATTAAGAACACTTGAAGCTCTTCCAGAGGACCTGAGTTCGGCTGCCCAGAACCTATGTTGGGCTGCTTACAACTACCTGTAACTCCAGCTCCAGAGAATCCATACACCTACTTCTAGCCTCTGAAGGCATCTGCACACATGTAGCATACATTTACACAGACACAGACATACATACATACATACATACATACATACATACATACATACATACGCACACACAATTAAAATAATCTTTAAAAAATAATCCAAGTGGGCAGTCTGAGAAACAATGTCCTCTATGTGAATGCATGCTCATGCACACACTCACATATTTGGAGTGTATAAAAGGCAAAGACCACTTTACAGTCTTGCATATAAGTTATCTATTCTTAGGGCTGATTTCAAGCTAAACCTTCCACAATTCTGTATTGCAGAGGTATTTGGCAGAATTCCAGTAAGAATCAGCTACCTGGCACTAACAGAAACACCTTTATGGAGTGAAGTGATGAGCCTTCAAATATTTGTGCATTTTTGAGGCTGAGAGTAACCGGTGAATCAGCCAGGCTAATAATCAGTAAGGCCCTGCAAGTGCGACTTTCTCTTCCTGCAATTTTTTTCTAAACAAGATCTGTAGAGAAAGGCACTCAGCCACATCTCCACACGCTGCTGGGTCCCTGCTCACCTGGGAAGGGAGTAGCAACCCTGGGAAACAGCTCAGAATAATAGAATCACCTTAAGACCCATGGAATGCCCAAGTTGGGATTCTGCTCTCCTAGGAGGAACATTCCCGAAAACAGTTGAATAGAGAGAGCCTGCTCTAATTACCTGGGAAGACTGCAATGCATTAATAAGAGGTTCAACTTTTTCTGGGAAATGAAGCCCTAAGAGTGCTCTAGACAAGACAAGATGTGTCCTTTGTTCCCTCTGAGATGGTAAAGCCTTGTCAGGCAGAGAAGACAAAAGGCCCCAGGGTAGCAAGCAGGCTCCCACTCAAAGAATTCACCCAGGCTGCTCTCTTAAAACACAGTTCAAGCCTGGACATGTAAGCATCCAGCCTGATCATCAGTTCTCTAGCAAAGCATGGGTTGAAAGGCCTGATCAGCAAGGCTTGGGTCAGGAAGCTATTTCTCTAATTCAAATTGAGAGGCCATCCATCATGACTGCTGGTGAACCTTTCATAATATTAAAGACAGACTCTGCACATACACTTCCAATAGAGTTCTGGCTTCCAGATCTTTACAAAATGATGATGATAATAAAACAACAACAATAATGAGAGTTATTCAGTATTAGGAGCTTTCTCCTCACCACAGCAGCCTGAGGTGGGGGGTACAATTCCCTGATTATCCAATTTATAGATGTGCATATTGAAGCAAGGAGAAAGTACCGGGGAGGGGTCCTCTGATGACAAGTGAGAGAAATCTGAGTCTAGATTACAGGAGAGAAAATAGAATGTATTCACTCACAAAAGCAGGAAACATGATGGAATCTTCCAGAAGTTGGAAGAGCTGTCGAAGCAGGAATCCGAGATCAGTGCTGAACTCGGGCTCTCTCTCTCCTCTTCCTTTTTCTCCTGCCCCGTCCCTGTTATCACTTGTCCCTTCTTGGTCTCATCTTCTGTGGCTGCACAGGACCCTCCAAGCTTGACATTGCTCATTCTGTCTTGCATTTTTTCATCCACAACTCACCACACTCTTTCCAGCCATGAAGAAAACAAGTGATGAGACGTGTAACTACGTAGACATGACCACAGTGACTCCCTGTACCAGGCTTTCTTTTTGGGCCACCAACCAGCCCCCAAATCATGACTCAGAGACTTATTATTAGTTTTAAATGCATGGCCTTAGCTTAGGCACATTTCTGGCTAGTTCTTTTAACTTAAACTAAGCTGCTTCTCCTTATCTACCTTTTGCCTCGGGGCTTTTTTCTTTTCTTTCCTTCTGTATATCTTACTTTCACTGTTTCTCATGCCTGGCTGGCTGGCTGGCTGGCTAGTGACTGCCTGGCTCCTCGTTCTTCATTCTTCTCCTATTTATTCTCTCTGCCTGCCAACCCCACCTAGCTTTTCTCTGCCTAGCTGTTGGCCGTTCAGCTCTTTATTAGACCAACCAGGTGCTTTAGGCAGGCAAAATGAAACAAATGCAACACATTTTTACATAATTAAACAAATGTAGCACAAACAAATGTAACACATCTTTACACAGTTAAAGTAATATTCTGCAGCATAAACAAGTGTAGCCCATCTTTATATAGTTAAAGTAATATTCCACAACACATCCCTGAGTTATAAGTGATGGGATGTATGTGATTACACAGACATGACCTCAGTGCACCCCTGAGTCATATGAAACTACAAGATTCATCCTGCATGTGCGTTTGTTCCCTCTGCTGGCTTGATGAAATAAAAGGCCGCATTAGCAATAGAGGATGATGTTTCTAGTCTACAGCCAGGACAGAAAAACAAGCAAACAAACAAAAAAAACCAAAACAATAAACCTTGATATTGTCAAGTGTGAGCCAGTGATTTCTCTAAAAATCTAGGTGGGTTTGAATGCAGATTTCCGCAGTTGAACATAAGATAAGAATACAACCCTAGCCCACGCCACAACCACAGCTGCGAGGCTCCCAAGCAGCAGGCCCACCTAAGCCCTGTCCTGCTCCTGACCCACCACGAGGTGATAAATATGTTTCTTCTGGATCCTTCTGTTATGCTCATCTACTACACAGCAATAACATCTCTAGTGAAGCAAATCCTTCCCCCAAGGTCCTACATCTGCAGCACAAATCTGTATTTTACCAGAAAATAAATTGTTAATATGGATTCTCTTTGTGACAATGACTAAGCCATTGATGCTATTGCTGCCGTTAGCAGTGAGAAAATGTGACTCAAAGACAGCATTTTTAATCCAAAGTTGACCTTCATTTCCTTCTAGTTGCTCTGAGAGCACTTGGCCATGGATGTGTTAGCGGCCGTCTCACACACACACACACACACACACACACACACACACACACACACACACACACACGTCCATATTCTAAGCCATGAAAACTTTCCAGTGTCATAAGCTGTGCTGTAATAAAGTCACTGTGGAAACCAGAATGCTGTAAAATGAAGAGCATACCCCCAAAGTTGTCACAGACACCAAACACAGGAACCTTTTCCCTTAAAACTATGAATAGTAAAGACTAAAAGTTTCAACAACACAGATTTAGATGAGGTGACTTTAATTGCTGCATAAGCTAGAAACAATGTGTGTGCTAAAATCCAATACTGTCCACATAGGTGGAAACAGCTGTGTATCCTCTCTCTCTCTCTCTCTCTCTCTCTCTCTCTCTCTCTCTCTCTCTCTCTCTCTCTCTC